ACTTTTTATATCTAACTTGTCAGAATGTGAGCCCCCAACCCTCACCCCCATAAGCTTAAGTCCCAGGAACCAGCTGCCTCCAGGGGTCTCCTGGCACGTTTTCCGGGCAAGTGTCCTGCAGTCCCAGGAACAGGCCAGCTCCCTACCTGTCCAGTGTCTCCATGCTGGCTCCGATCTTGCCACTTCACTGTGTCTCAAAGCCCACCATCCTTGTGACATCACTGCTCTTCAGGGACACCAGTCCGTAGGGAATATATGCTCAATCTAGCCCAGCTGAGGGGCTTCTGCACATTCCAGCCTTCAGTTGCTACTAGATGTGGTGACTCTATGGAGACCAGTTCACAGCCAGCGTCCTTCCTTCTGTGGTAGGGATGACCTCAACCATTAGCCATCAGAACCCTCTAGACATTTCCACACCTTACAGTTTAGGTTCAACTTAACCCCATGTTCAGATCCAGAATTAGCTTCTTCCCAAGATGGCTGACAGTGGGAACATGTGTTCCTTTATGGAACATGACTTTCCTTCTTTTTTGTCTCTTTCTTTTCCCCCCTCTTTCTTTTTTCCTCCCTTACTCTTTCCTTTTCATAACTTCATTTATCTAAAATGGTATTAAAAATATCTTCCTGTCATAAAAGTACAATATGTTCCCATTGTAAAAAAATGAGAAGATTAAAAAAAAAAGAGAAAATCCAAATGAACAACAAAAAAGAAAACGAACAGACTCATAAACTTACCATTTCAGAGTTTTGCCAATCTAACACATTGGTATATCTTAAGAAGAAACTTAAAACTAAAGTGACCTCAAGTATAAGAGACTTAGGCCACCTTAGAAAGGAGAATGCTCCATTTGAATCAATAATAGACTAAGAGAGTGCACCTGGGTGGCTCAGTCGGTTAGGTGCCTGACACTTAGTTTCAATTCAGATCATGATCTCAGGGCCCTAAGATCGAGCCCCGCGTCCAGCTCCTCACTCAGCACAGAGTCTGCTTGAGAATCTCTCTCCTTCTCCTTTGCCCCTCCCCCCACTCACTCTCTTGCTCTCTCTCTTGAGCAAATAAACAATTCTTAAAAGAAGTAGACTAAGAAGGGAAATTCTAATAAAAATCTGGAGAAAATTTGAGGACTAAATTAAGCTATGATTGATAATAACTTATTATTATCAATTAGTATTATCCAGTAAGTCCCAAAGTGTAGCTGAGATTTATTTATGTAAAAGTTTATTTGTAAAAATAATTTCTTTTGCTGCTTTATTAAAGGAATTTTAAATTTTAAAAAGTTATTTATCACTATGTTAGACTACCAAAACTATCACCAGAAAATGATCTAAAAGAAGAGAAAGAATTTGAACTTGAACCCCTAAGCTATCAGTAGCATCTTACCCACACTTGGGAAATGTGGACCTTTGCCAGGACTTTTCAGCTATTACCATTTCTTTTTCCTTTCTTTTATGAGCTAGCAAAAATAACACCAAATGGGGAATCAAAACATCTAGAATCTAGCCCTATCTTTCTTACTACCTGGCATCTGTTTCCTTGATGTCAAATGGGGATGGGAAAATCTGTCTTAGACAATTTTGTAAGGACAAAATGAGATATTTGATAAGCAATAATTCCAAAATGCTAGAGCAATTGTATAAAATATGATACTTTTAAGAAAAATATACCTTTTAAGGGCTTATTTAAAAAAAAAAAAACACAGTTGTTGCATTCATTACAAATCTTTTTGGGGGAAAATGACACCTAAAGGAAAGAATCACTTTGCACCACTTTTTTTTCTTATATTTTAAAATGTTGGCATCTAGATGCTTGAGACTGAAGATATGTGAGTGATAAGCTCTGTCTTTCCCATATGCATCTTTAATTCCAGCCTTCTAATTTTAAGCTAACACCATTAGCTTAGTTTTAGCTATCGCGTTTTTAAAAATGTACAAAACTCTCTTTTGTAAATATCTTAGACAGAACGCCACACTCACACCTCCATCACTGCCACCAATTAATCTTAGACATGATTCTCAAGACTTCAGTTACAAAACTTCACGCAAAACAAGCAAACAAACAAACAAAAATTGCTTCATGCCATTTGAAATGAAATAGATTTAGTGTTTTCTAAACTTTGCAGGGCACTTGACTAAAGAGCTGATGGCTTCCTCATATCAGGCAGTGGTATATTCAACATTCAGGTGAGCACACGTGACCAAATCCTTTGCAGCTCTACTAAATTTTGGACGATGGTAATTCTCTCGTGCAACGTGCAGGACACACATACTACCAACTGGCAAAGGAACGAGCGTTTAGCAGCTTCACAAATGCCCTTTCTGCCGCTGCCCCAGCTCTGGGGCCAGCGCGTCAGCAGGCGTAAAGCTGGAGGCACCTGGCGCGGGAGTGGGTGTGGGCACCTCAGACCGCCAACCCGCTGCAAGCATCTCCAACCGTTTTCTTCCTCCTTCACTGTGTTCACGCCTCAGAGCTCACCACCAGGTTAAAACAACCTCCACCTAGTGCCTTCCCATGACGGATTCTAAAGTTAGGCGGCACGATGGTGGATATGGTCCAATTTAAAGGATGCCCCAAAGCCTTTGTTTTCTCCTTTCCTTTCTGTCTCTCAGTTTCTCTCTCTTTCTTTTACACGCACACATGTACACATACATATACGCACATGCACACACAGGTGAACCCATACACAGAGACACATGTGCGTAACACAGAACCCAGGGTGCCTGCTTCGATTTGCTGCTCTCATTAGCCAACTCTCTCCTTAGAAACCTAGTTGTTCACAGAAGGGAATACAAACTAAATGAGGCCCCTCTGCCTTCCATGGAAAAAATCATGAAGTCCCAAATAAGAGTCGATTTCTGGAAACGAGAACACCAAGAGCTATGAGCTGCTGTCAAATGCATTTCAGCGGAGCTTCCAGAAAACAAGACAGTTGATAACAATTTGTTTATCAAAACCAAGGTAAAATGTAAGCCATGAACTTGAAGCAACAGCAGAACAAGTCCGACGGAAAAACATTGCTCACCTCCCTCCTTCCTCCACACACTCGTCTTGCTTTCTGAGTAAAATTTTATTACCATGGGGACTGTGCTAAGAATATATGAGAGAAAGCAAAAGACGGCTGTCACAGGGGGGTAAATTATCTGGCAGATCTGCATGGAAATGTTGCTTATGAAAGTGTGGTTGAAGTTGTGCCTGACTAGACAATACGCAATGAAGATTTTTGAGGTTTTCACTTCATTTATTAGCTGCAAGTCTGAATTCATATGAAAGTAATTTGCTCTCTAAACTCCTGTTTCCATATTAATTTCAGCTGAGAAAACTCAGCAGCTACTATATGTAAAAATCTGCTGAGATGCTGGAAGAATCTCTTGTGAGTCTTCCTTGCCCCCATGTCTATCTCACTGCTTGCCTCCCAGACATTCATAAGCTGCTTGCTGTGTGTGTCAGAAGCTGTGTCAGATACTTTGGGGGCATCAGTCAGACACATCGGAGCTGAGCAGATACACAAATAAACGTGATATCAAGTAGAAAGCAATATGAGCCCTCAGGAAGGCAGAGAGATGGGGCTACAGGAATTCACAGGGGGCACCCCTGAGTAAAGCTCTCATGAAAGCCTTTATGGAAGAGGTAGGCTGAGTCCTGAGAGTGATAGGGTCCTGCATTCCACTCAGAGGGGAGAGAATGAGTAAAGCAACCACCATGGTACATGTGTCTATGCAAAAGCAATTCTGTCTAGCTAAAGCAAGTGCTATATGGAAGATTGTCAAGGAATAAGAGTGTGAGATTATAGTCTGGAGACAGATGTGAAGGACCTTGAGAGAGATGTAAGGATGTATGGACTTTATTCTGAGGGCAATGGAGACCAATGAGGGTCCAGAAGCCCAGGGAAGTGCTGGGCCTTAAGAGTTTATGTTAACAACGATGTTGACATGGAGGAGAGATCCTTCCAAGACCATTACAAGAATCCATACGAGAGGGATGATGGCCTCACTGAGGAGGAGTGGGGGGAGAGGAACAGAGCAAGAGACAGAAGAAACAGATCAATGCTGACTGATGCATTTCTTTGGCCTGATGTTCCATGACTCAGAAGCCCACAGCTGAAGGGGCCAACATGAAAGATTTTCTCCATGCATCCTGGTCTTCTCCAGCATATTACAAATAGCAGCAGCGATGTGGGTAACTGAGGATGATTGGCAGCACCTGGGGATTTTCCTTTTGTTCCAAGCAAGCTGCTTGTAAATATGCCTGGAGGAGGTGAGGATGAGCAAAGCAAAAGAGTAGTTCTACTCTCCCAACAAAAAGGGTAAGGACTGACAGAAAATATGGTGAAGTTGTTTTGAAAGAAAAAAATTATATGGAGTGCCATATCTCACAAATGTTTAGACAATGGACATGTTCAGAATATTTGTGTCTTTCAGAAATAATGCTCAAATTAATTCCACCAGAGGGAATAAGTCTCCTTTTCATGGCTTCTTAACCATACCAGCAAAGTATCAGCAGTGCAAGGGGGGCCTGGAGCCTGGGACACTTTGAGAGCCAGACACAGGTCTGGGAAACTAAGTTGTGTTAAAGCAACTAAGTCATGATATAGCTGCTCCTTTGAAACATCATCCGAATGTGCCACGAATATAGAATATACACTCTCAAGAGAGCTTTTGTGGCATCTAAACTCGTTCTCAACTGTACTGGGGAAAAAAAAAAAAAAGCAGACACTATGCTAGATGAAGGATCTTGGTATCTCTTCGGTGGTAGGAATGACCAAGGAAAGGGAACTCACCTTTCGGAGATGCCGTCAGCCTGATGCACAGAGCAAGGCAGTTTTTTGTTTGGCAACCCTGGGCAAATCAGCCACCATGTGAAATTCAAACCAAACAACCTGGAGAAAGATTCATGAGGTGTCAAAGCAGATGTTTAATTTCCACAGAAAGTACAAGAGGGGAATATTTTGAAATCCTGTTTCACAGCCATAATTCACACTCTTTGTACTTGTATGTTCCCACAGGTTTTCGGTCACATGAAGCAAATATGGAATTTAATGAGCTCTACACATAGAGGGAGACAAGAGCAGCCCCCCAAGGTGTCAGCTTTTAAATGATGTAGTGCATCTAGGGAGTAAATTGATAACAGTCTAGAACCCCTTTGGCATTATGTAGCCTGTGGACATTAAAGAGGTCACAATAGTGTGACTTTTTATATTACTATTTACGTATGCATGCATGAATGCCCACTGTGTGCTTGGAATTTATGTACATAATCACATTTAATCCTCACAGCCACCCTGTGGGGAAGAAGTATTACCCCTATCTTGCAATGAGAAACGTGAGAAGCACATGAGTGAAGTGCAAAAGTCAGAGCTGGGATTTGTGCCTCCAATTACTTACCCTCAAGGAGCAATCAGCTTTGCAGACACTCCCATCTCCTGCTCTTCCCAGACACTGTATTCTCTTCCTACTTTCCTGGTTGATCCCCCTGTAGTTCTTTTTCTTTAGTTGTCTTTTAAACGCAGGTTGTTATGGGTTGAATTGTATCTTCCTCCAAAATTCTCTGTTGAATGTCTAACCCTCAGTACCTCAGAATGTGGCCTTACTTGGAGATCGGGCCTTTACAGAGATAAGCAAGTTAAAGTGAGGGCATAATGTAGGCCCTAATTCAATAGGACTGAATTTGGTGTCATAGAAGAAATGTGAACACAGACACACACAGGGAGAGCGTCAACGTGACATAAAGATGAAGGCAGAGATCCGGGTGACGCTTCTACAAGCCAAGGAAATCGCCGCAGAGGCAAGGAGAGAGGCCTGGAACAGACTGTCACTCGTGACCCTCAGAAGTAACCAACTCTGTTGATACCTTGCTCCTGGACCTCTGGCCTCCAGAGGAGTGAGATAATAAATTTCTGGTGAGCCACCTAGTTTGTGGTACTTTGTCCCAGCAGGCCTAGTGAACTAATACACTGGTGTTCTTCATTAAAAGGCCTCTCATGGCAAAAACAACTGCCTACCCCCTCAGGACCGCTTCAGTCCTTCCTCTCATAGGCCCCCCTGACACACTCACCCCACCAAGTAACTAACTCCTTTAGTTTCCTGGACAGCTCATACCATGCTCTGCCTTTTTCCTTAGTTATGTTATTCCCCCCTTTCTGGAACACCTCTATCCCTGTTCCAGCTCAATTATCACCTCCTACAGGAAGCCTTCCTTCTACTTCCTCTTATGCCCATGGACCAAGAAGAGTTAATCATGCTTTCCTGCATGCTCTAGCTGTTTCTTGTACCTGCTCCTATGGTTGTACTTACACCACAGTGTAGCCTCGGTGTTATGTGCTTACCTGTCTGTGTCCCTTACTGGGATGCCAGCCCCTAGAAGGCAAGTGCCCAGCTTATTCCTCTCTATATCGCAGTACTAATATGGTGTCAGTTGCCGGTCCTCCTTAGAAGCCTTAAAAAGGTTTCTCCAACTGCCCTCTTCAACTGCAATCTAAGGGACTTTAAATGAACACAGTGTGAGGAGAGACAGAATGATACCCTGATTACACATGTGGACACAGCTAGTGAGAGAATATGTCCTTCCAGTGGGGATGGAGGTGGAAAAGAAGCATCTGTATGAAAGCATGAAAAGGAGAAACAAGAAGTGGTGGGACTGATCTAAGAACTCTCAAATAGGGAATCTTTATCAGGCTTGAAATCTTTGTAGTCACATTAGGAAAGTGATCTTAAGAGATGGATGCTTCCGAATACCCTAGCTCTTTGCCATTAAACCTTGTTTCATCTCATCGCTCTTGATCTGCTTTCATGCTTACCAAACGATATTCTCATTCCTCTCTGACCCCCATACAGATGAAGAATGTGTACTGTATGAACTCCATGTGTTTCTAGTCACTTGTGGCGAGCAGGTAAAGTGACTTTGGATTAAGTTTGGTTCTCGGGGAGTCTGACAGGGAGAGAAGGCCCGCGTCACACCAATGGGAGCCTTCCTGGTCTGTCTGACAGATACACTTGTCAATTTGAATGAATAAACTGGCATTCTGCAAGCTACCCCAGTCCCTCTTGGGTTTTGGGTAGTGTGAACTAGGGAGTCTAATTAATCTTCGTTTGTATTTTTTAGGTAAATAATAACATTCTCTGCTGAAACAGAAACACCTTACACACTGATGATTTAACAAGAAAAGTGTCACTTCTCACTCATGGCCTCCTGTTGGCTGCCAAGTTGGGGTGGGTGAGAACTCTCCCCCACACAGTCACTTAGACCTAGCTCTGAGGACACACTGAGGTGTGTCTTCCTTATTAAGCTTGCAATTGTGGAAAGGAAGCAATTTTGCTTTTATGAGGAGGATAAAAGGAACCTGAAAGACATACACGGGGCTAGACTGAAATGATTTGAGTATCATGACGTATAAGAGAGAAAGTGAAAAACACATTTTAAAATATTTTTAAATGTAATAAACATTTATTAAATATCAAACACTATTCTAAGAGCTTTTCAAATATGAATTCATTTCATCCTATGACAAGTTGAGTATCCTGAAGTGGGTACTATTATCATTCCCATTTTAAGCTGAGGCATAGAGCAGATAAACAACTTGCCCCAAGGGCACAGAGCTTAAGCTCAAACTGAGGTTGGCTCTGGAATACATATCTCTTTCTCTCTCTCTCTCTTATTTATTTATTTATTTATTTATTTATTTATTTATTTGACAGAGAGAGACACAGCAAGAGAGGGAACACAAGCATGGGGAGTGGGAGAGGGAGAAGCAGGCTTCCCACTGAGCGGGGAGCCCGATGTGAGGCCGGATCCCAGGACCCTGGGATCATGACCTGAGCCGAAGGCAGACGCTTAATGACTGAGCTACCCAGGTGCCCCTCTCTCTCCCTTTTTTTTAAAGATCTTATTTTTAGGTAATCTGTACACCCAATGTGGGGTTCGAATTTATAGCCCCAAGGTCAAGAGTCCTGTGCTCTACCAACTGAGCCAGCTAGGCACCCCTAGAATAATCTTAATATTCTTATTCTTAGCATATTCTTAATCACTATGCTAAGCTATCACATTCATTTTATATTTTCAAAACATTAGTTCTGGTTGACCTTGTACCCAAAAAGACATTTAACTGCATGTCACATTTTTCCAAATGCAATAAATCCAAGATATCAAGTGAAGACTCCCTTGCCCGTTTGCATTTTCTTTCTTAAAGAGGAGAGAAGGGAGAATTCCCACCAGTGAGGCAGGAATGGCACAAATCCCACAGCCCATCTCTGCCACAGGTCTTTGAGCAACCCTTACTGCTAGGTTCTTCATAGTCCCAAGCATCAAATTATTGCTCTGCTAAAACATCATTAGGCCTAACCTCCTCACCAAGAATGTGGACTCTGGTCATAGTGCCAGGTTACTGGGCCTTTCCTGAAAACCTTTAGTTTTTGGTTGGTATGTGCTCCTTAGACATGAAAGCTGATGATTAGCTGATTCCATTAGCCTTTTCCAAAAATCGATGTTTGTGGAACTATCTAGGCCCATAGCAAAGACTTCTTGGATGAAATAAACTCAGGAAACTATTTTCTTTTTCCTTTGAAATTTCACAATATGCATCATCTTACTAAAGGCTCCAGAAACAAAAAAAGAAACCTGATTATTTTTACATAAAGTGCTGTTCTCCAAATTAAGATTTGATCAAGAAACCCTTAAGTTTTTACTATGCATGTTATCATACCACAGAACTAGTGTCCCATTGAGTGTTGAGAAATCTTGCTATTAATTTCCCAAAAGAGACTCTCTTTGATGTTGAGAATTTCTCCATGGCCCTTGAAAAGAAGTCACCTTCTCATTGTATAGACCCAGAGACACAATTTGTACTTGTTTGGGGGGTTGTTAGGCAGGTAATGACCCAGCCCAGAGAAGAAAATGAGGAAACTGTGCATGAATATTGGATGTCTTATGTGATCAACACGCAGAGAAGACATGGAAGCTTCTCCCTACCTTTCCAGCATTCAGAACTCCTACCGCTCAAGAATTCAAGTCCAGTTGGGGGAGGTAATAGAAGATATTTACATAAAGACCCTTGCTTACAACATTTACCATTTACACGGCCCCTCTTTCCTCCAGGTAATTTGTTACTGCTGTTACTAATGAAGATGTTACAAAGGATAGGACACTTGGCTGCCACTTCTCACCACGGAGCTGCGCAGTATCAAACAAAACGAAAGACTTCTGAAACCGACAGCTGGAGAAAACCCTGTCACCAGAGTCACAATGTCAAGTGTGGTGTGACACCTCTGTGTGTGTTTCCTCTGTACCTAAGAACTCCTTTGCCAGTGTGGGTCAAATTAATGAAAGAAAACCGAGTTTTGGCGGCACAGAGGATTAGCTGTACAGTTGAGAAAACTGTAGAGATATTTGGCCTGGGATTGTGATTAGAAAAAATTTTCCCCCAAGGACTCTGCACAAAGTATTTTTCAATGAAGCGTTGAAATAGAGTTACTTTTCCTCACATTGGTCATGGAAGAGAATTAGGATGTTAACTGTTGATCCAATTTATACTGCCATTTGATCCCATAAGTGCTATACAGGACTCGGTTACTCATGGAAAATGCCTTCTGCCAGAGCAAACACTCCCCAGGCCAAAGTCACAGGATTCTGATTTTACATGCTCTGCTCTGCCTCCATTCATTTTGCCTCTTGGAGTGTCATGAATTCCCGGAGCAAGGAGGTCATCTACCATGCAGTCTAATCTCTTGCCATGAGAATTAGTATTCAAGCGATTTAGGTTTGGGCAAGAACTTTCCTCATGAAGATCTTCCCGAGTGCAGTCAAACCAGTGCCTTGTATCCTTTTCCCTTCTTGTCCTATTCGTTCATACCTTGGAACAAAACTGAAAGCTTAACCCTGGGCAGAGGAAGATCGATACCTAATGGTATTTGTTGTATCTCCAATCGTGGAAAGGGATATGTGTGCATGTGCACGTGTTTATTTGGTTCTTGTATCTAACAAACATCCTTCTTTGTGAAATGCCTTGTGGACTATTGATATTTGGATGTCATCTCAGATTTAAAATTTCTACAGGGCAGGATAGATGCCGTTAGGTCTAACAGGCACTGGATCACGTTTCCCTGTGTTCTCTAGAATATTCGTAGTCATGGATGCTAAAGTTTTATGATGAAAGGGCTCATTTTCAAATAAGTTTGAGGAACATTGTATCTTCAGCCCTTTTAAAGAGGCATAGAATTCTTTAATGCTGAAAACACTTGTCATACCTATCATGAAGAATCATGTTTAACTTTGACTCAGTGTGTCTCTAATTTATTTGTCTATGGAATTCAACATTCTTGTAAAAATCCATAGGCCAGGCAAGACTTGCCAACAGTCAAAATCTTTGAGAAAGAGACACACAACTGGGTAGCTGGGTGGTCTCCCTTCTCCCAGTTTCCTTGCCCATATTCTCTCCTCTCCGCCATCACCAGCAGGATCTTTCTAACGCATCCCTGTTCTCACTCCTCCGCTAATTAAGGTACAGGTTCATTGCTCCGATGGAGATACCAAATGGCAGTGGCTCAAACAAAACAGAAATTTATTTTTCTTCCACATAACAGTCTGTACATTAGCAGTCTGGGATTAGAATGGTTTCTCCAAAAAGATAGAGACCCAGGTTCCTTCTGTCTTATTCCTCTACTACATGCAGGGTGTTTTCCCATCCATGTGGCCCAAGATTTCTCATCTCTATGTCTACATTCCAGTCAATAGGAAGGAGAGAGGGGCAGGGGAGGGAATTCTCCCTTTCAAGAACATCATCTGAAAGTTGCACTTATAACTTCTGCTCACATCCCATTGACCAGAACTTGATTGCTTGATCACACCTATATACAAGGGAGGCTGGAATATGTAGTTTTCCTTAATCTGGTGACAACTGCT